TCAGACTTTTTTTTGTAACAGGTGCAGCTGCTGAGAATTATTTTTGTTTCTTAACTAGTTTGGCTAGTGTCATGCTATCTGTGCAAAGCATAGCCAAGGAAGGAACACTTCATTTTAATTTTGTACGTTTTTTTATTAAGCTTGCTTAATACTGTGCACAGCAAACAACCTCAAAATGTTGTTCTTATTGTTTATTGTATTTTAATTATTATTCAAAATATTTCTGTTGAAATTTTGAGTTTTTATCCTTGTGGTATCGAAAATGATATCGAGTATCGAATATTTTCCTTAGTATCGGTATCGAGTTGAAAAGTTTAGTATCGTGAGAACAATGAGGAACTGACATTGAACGGATGTCAGCCATCAGATAACTGACCTGGAACTGATGGACCACGGATGGCAGACGCTGGCATACGGCGGGAAATGTTGAGCTCAGAATTTCCCACCAAATACCAGCGTGCTTCAGCAATCTCATAAATTATACAAAACGCACCCATAACTTCTCCACCGAATGCCCGCAGTTCTGCCAGATATTTGCCGCATGTAAGGAACACTGGTCTAAATCGTCAAGGTGTGACAGGGGCTTAAAAGAAGAAACAACATGAGCGATCTGATTAAAGTTAGTCTGCAGATTGTCTCTATCTGATCCGTACCAGAAGCTCATCTGAGTCGCCCTCGATTTACTTTGTAAAGAAGAACAAAAAGACTCTATTGTCCCCTAAAAATAGTTAGAGAATAAACTAGACTGGTAACACTGGGACTCCCAGGATTCTGATCCTACCAGAACTCCCACTGGCCGTCAATTTGACAGGTAACTTTTTTCCCAATGGAACGCATGAGTAGTGATGATGTCATCACCTGAGATGGTTCTAGTGTGTGATATAAACCCATGGTGGATACGTAAACCTTAAAACAGGTCTAATGTATATTTTTCAAAAGCTGTATTGCATGCTATTATTATTTGTGTTCTAAAGGTATATTAAAAATAAATCCGTAGAGTAAGACTATTTTACTACACAGGTTCAAAGTTTGAAATTACAATTTTATTTACAGAAAGTGATTGAAGTAGAGAAAGAAGTAGAAGTCCTGGATCCTGACTCTGACCACCTCCTCTGAGACCAGAAGGTTCCTCCTGTGAGGAGCTCCAGCTCTTACCTTGACCTTGACCATGCGTTTGACCGTCTTGATTTTGGCCTCACAGAAGGCTCCTCTGTACTTGGCGCTGACATCTGTCCCCACTGTCAGGTAGGCAGGCTCGTCTGCTGCCTGAAACACACAAAGTAGTTAGCAGGAACACATGAAGCAGGCATGTGCTGCAGTTCACTCATGTTTAATCAACATACATGAAGAGATCAGATGAAACTTATTAATCCAGAACTGATCCGGCTGGTTTTGTTCTCCATCCGATATCTAAAACTTTTCTTTTGGCACAAACTGAACTAAATAAATTCAAATATTGCTTTGGATAGCATCATGTTCTGCAAACACTGCATTGAAGAAACGTTCAGTAATATGTTCCATGTTCATGCACCATGCATGCAGATTCTGCTAATGCATTCGGCCTTTTGCCTGGATGTTCACCTTTGATTCTCAGCATTTAAACATCCAACACGCTTGTGAAGCTCACTAAAGCAGTGGCGACATCGTGATGGAAAAAGGAAGAAACAAATCGCCAGAAAATGTGGCTAAAATATAATTATTCTCACTACAGCAATATTATTGCAACTATACGGTGCAGCCCTCCAACAACGCCACTGAAACATCAGCAGTGTATTGGATGGCAGAGCTTACTTCATTTTGCATCAGCTGCTCCTTTATCAGAGGGGAAAAACTATTATTTCATCAGAAATCTCACTTTAAATCTGAAAAAAAAAAAAATCACTTAAAAGTTTGTAGAGATTCGCTTTATTTTAACTAGTTTCACCTCAACAGTAATTTTCCCCGTGTCTGGTGAGGATTCTCAGTCATCCAGGTCATGGTTAAAAAGTTAAAAAAACAATTCACTGGACTTTGTTTCCAAGTTTCACTTCTTAACGCTATTTCTGTCATTTAGAATTGAAAAAGCTTCCTGGATGGGAAGATAACATCTTCAAACAGATAGAATGACATTTTTCACCGTGGTTTACAGACGGATCACAGAGGAGCGCATAGCTGGGGTATTTGGAAAAACATCTTATCCATGAGTCTCTCGTTCCCTCTCTGCATAGCCGCCACTCATCCAGCCGGTTGGATGTTGTGTAAGAAAGAAGTGAAGGAAATAAGCAACGTCACAGTTTTCCATCCTAGTTTCACGAACTAATCGGCTGCTTTTTGTTTTGCATTTGGAATAAAACAGAAAAAAACTGTTGGTTCTATTCAGATTTAAGGGGAAACCATCAAACAAACAGTTTCCTATTGTATAAACTTTGCTTTGAACATTATAGTATTTATTGAGAAGCGTTTGAGCAGCTCTCTGCTCAGCTTCCCTGCGCTGACGGCCGTGTGAAACATGAACCAGACACAGGCAGAGAAAAGAAGAGCTAAACAACGTCAGACCGGTTTCCAACAATTAGTAAATATCTGGATGACATATCAGGTGTGATTAGGTCTATTTTCCTCTTTCTAGTCTGTATTTGTATCGTTATGTAACCTTCAATATTTTCAGTGACCAATATTGCACAGGCATCAGTCTTTTCATGTATGAATAAGCCATACGATAAGATACTGTGATGATTTGCAATATATTGCAGTCTTAGTCTTTAAAAAAGGTTTAAAAAAAAGTGCAGTAAAAGGAAATCCAGATTCACCAGATCTCCAAAATAAAGTGTAGAACCAATAAATAATTTAAAGAATTCATTCTATCTCTATTCTCCCACTCTGCAGAATCTATTAGTTCAATCTCTAACGTTCTGCTC